GCAGAGTTCGGATTGGCTGTCCTGGGGGAAACAATCAAGCACCTCCCCCAGCATTCTGCGAAAACGAAGAGGAGATGGCGCCATGGATGAAGAGAAAATAGTTGACTTTCTCCGTCCACAACACGCAACTGATGTATGATAACTCTAATCACGCTTCGTAAATGTGCGCAATGAGTGCCACATCGGGCGCATCGCAGCCGCGCGTCTGTGTCTTACGGAGGCGGCCACGGTTAGACTGTCTATGGTACGATGGCTTTTGATTACCCTCCTGGAAAAGAGGCAGGCGAAATTATTGAAGTGGGAGACTAAGTAGCACCCATTTTCTGCTTGCCTACGCTCTGGGATCGTAGGAGAAGAGATAGCTATGCGAGCGTTTTCTCGGTGAGAGGGCGCAGACGAAAAGAGAACGAATGTGGTGTGGTCTCACTGCCCCTCCGAAGCGGTGTTCTAACCAACGAAAAAAAAATTACAAAATCGACAAACCAAGTTTGGGGTACTCTGTTCCATATGCGTTTTGATTTCAGGCAAAACAAGTGGTGTGTAGAGGAACTGCGCCAAATGCGCAAACATCGTGCAATCGAGCTAAAATCGATACCAATCGATAACAAGCGGTAGTGAGGGCTAGTCGATAAGTACCGTAGTCGGTTTGTCGCCGAAGAAGAATTTCTTATTGCCGAGGAACATGCTCATCGCATCGAGATCTTTTTTCGCAAGTATCACCACTTCTTCCGGTGTATTGCGTCCCATACCCTGCGATGTCGCTTGTGACATAATCTGAAAAATCGACATATTGATTAGTTGAGTCCGGTTGATTTTGATCATATTGATGGCAACTGCTGCTTCTGGGAGGCATGTGCGATGAGCAGCGCTCTGCGAACTTTACGAGATTGGGTTAATGTCTGGGTGCTGCCACGCAAACCGCTCGCGGCGCGTGCTGATAGTTACAGTCATGACAAGACAAAAACGCGGATAATAAGCAGGTGTAGACATGGCTGAACTTGTGTGTGCGAGAAGGTTCGTTGATAAG